AAAAGACTCATGTTCGTGGAAAGCATGAAAAACAGAATGCTTTTCTTTATTTAGATTACCCTGGGGGGGGGGGGGCTGCTTTTTGCTGTCTGCTGTTGGAGAGACGTTTCCTAGTAATTTTGGGGTACTGATTTCAAAATGAAATCATTTCTTGTTCTCTCACGTCAAGGTTTTTCACAAACTCAAATGTCAATTTTTCAACATTTCCAGTATTATCAACATTTCTAAGGACAGATTTCGCTTCAGCAGACCCCCCCCCCCACCGTGTATGGAGATTAACATAACTTTGAAAACAGTTTCTCTATATCATTTAAAGTAAATGCAACTACAAGAGTGAAAATAGATCATGATTTAAGTATCTTCGTTAATTAAAACGCATCAAACTTGAGCAATTTTCACTATTTTCAATCTAAGCTGTTTTAAATGTCATGATGACTGAAATGAAATAATAATAGTGATGACAGAAATGAAATAATGATGATGATGATTGAAATGAAATAATGATGATGATGATAGAAATGGCCTTCATGCAATGAAATGTTAAGCATTACACAATATTGTCGTCCTTGACATCATACACGCATCTCATATTTGTGGAATTATCTATATTTGTCTACAAATATACCAACACTGGGCTTAATTTAGTGTGATTATCATTGAAAACTTTGTTGAACCTTTAACTATTTCTTATGAAAATTGGTATTTTGAACGCACTCTTAATGTCATAATTGTGAGGTCACATAGTTCAAGGTTACTTTTTATTAAGCATGATCAAAGAAGTGTAGAAAGGACTTCAGGTATCTCCGTTCATTTGCGTAGTTTATAAGAGTTGATAATTCTGAGTGTTTTTCCCATGTGACAACTGACTTGAATATATATTTTGTATTTCAGATATAGGGTCAGTTGTGTAAGAAGAAATTATGTCTTTTGTTATATTTGTGTATGTTACACTTTAGCTAGGCAGCGAAACAAAATCATAGATATTGTAAAAAGATTTCTTTACCTTATATATCTGGCTTCAATTTTAAGACTATCTGCCCTCCGCTATTTGAACTCTACCACACTCGACTTGGATGATTTGACGCCACCAGAGTTCATGTCCTCTGTTGATGATAGTAGTGACAAGAATACGGAGATGAAGTATGGTAACCTGGAAGACGAGAACTATGAGGAACAGGAGGCTCTACCAAAACTTTTTACACAGGCAGAGTTAAATGATTTTTACTTTATGATCTAAATTTATCAAAGAAAGTCTCCCAGATGCCTGGGTCAAGTTTAAAAGAAAGCAACCTGCTTGCACTGGGAACCAAGTTCGCTTTTTATAGGCCTCAAGAGAATGATCTACTCCCATTCTTCAGTACGGATTTCATTTATTGCAATGATGTTCAATCTCTTAGCCGCGTAAGACAAGTAATAACTAAGCGGTACAAAAAAGAACAAGATATGATATGCTTAGATTATAGAACTAGAAAAATCTACTTCCTTGGGTTAAATATTTCAGTTGGAAATTTCATGAAAGTCACTCGATTCAACAGACATCTGAAGAAAGCCGGAGAGCACAAAGGCCAAAACAACGAAGATGAGAATATTAGTCCGAATATAAATAATTATAAATCTTCATCTCAGAAATTCAGGCTAAAAGAATGCACTCGATTTTTCAAACTGCTTAATAAATTCATGTATAGTCCACTTGGTAAAAGAAAAACTAACAATCACTTAGGTGAACAGAACATTAATAAATTCTCTGTAACATATATTTGCAAAGATAGATATCTAGATTTACATAGATATTTCGATAGATATTTCTACAACGTGTAGATAGGATTTACAACGTGTAGATAGTAATTCATTGTACATGCATGTCACACAAAATGTGACACAAGGTCGAGTTTAATTTGGAAGCCGTTCAAAAATTGCTCAAGCCAAATATTGGTACTTCTCCTTTTGAAGACACCTGAAGCGCCAGGTATTGACCCTAGTTTCTTCCCAAAAACAGGTATTGTCTAGTGGGGTGGCTCCCTGGATTTCGCGCCTATTTAATTGGCACCTCCAGGCCCGGCTGGACCAGGTAAAATTTAGATAGTTATTTCTTCAAAATGAACGTATTGCATATTTTATAAATATATGAATGTACTATTAACTGATAATAGAAGATGATGTTGTGCCATGCTACTAAACGCAAACATCCTTTGTGTTGAAAATCAGTATCCGGTGAACCAAGGACCAAGGAATTACTCAACAATCGCAACTTTGAAACAAGTCATAAATAAATATGAAGAGACTAAATAAAAACAGACTAATATACACAGATAGATATAAAGATAAGCAAAAAAAAAGTGCAGAGAAATACTTCGATGTAATGCAATGGTTCATCATATAGTCTTTGAGACGAATGCAAAAATAACGGTTTCGATTTTCACCGGTTGTTTCGCAATTATCCCGCCACACTAGAGTAAGATCGGTTTAGTAAAGATCAATAAAATCAGACTGAGCCTAGATATGATAAAACATGGAGAAATACCGAGGTATATATGACCAGCTTAAAATAGAGATGTCAACAGAGATAGAAAGATATGAACAAACTAAAACAGAAAAAGGCGGAAGTCGTCATTTCAGAAAAGTATTATTATTATTATTATTATTATTATTATTATTATTATTATTATTATTATTATTTATACAAAAGTCAGTTTCTCTTTCTTTCAAATTCACACACATTTAAACAGATACGGACGCAAATACACACCGAGGTGCTGCCATACACGCATGCGCAAAATACGCATACCTCCATTAGTGTCATAATACGCGCCGACTCACTCTTAAAACGGCCCCGACTACGAAAGACGTTAATTACAACCAGCATATCTGCATGTAATTTGTTCTACTTAGTATATAATTACGTGATAGTGTGGGTTCCTTGTATCATTGAAATGAATGATAACGTTATGGCTTCCTTGAGGTGACAATGACGATGAAGAAGCAAAACTCTTTTATTCCTTTTCTTCTTTGCGTATACAGCTAAAAAAAAAAAAAAAAGGCGCGCATCGTACACTTCTATCAGAAAATCTCGACAATTGTCTAACAAACGAAACAACATCAGAAATTAAGGTTATTAAGTTTAACATCCAACAGAAAATTATGATAAATAGATAGATGAAGATAACAGGCTGTGGTGGCTAAATATAAACATAGATAAAAAAAAAAATATATATATATATATATATGAAGTAATATCCGAACGTCTCTTGACTAGGATCTCCTAGTAGATTCCATAACTGATTTTAATCATGGGGGAGAGATAGTGGATTGTTCGGGAATGGATGAGTTCAACTTGAAAATCTGAGTTCGAGCTGAAGAATGTTCGCCAAAAGTCCATGAAGAATTTCAATGACATCAGATTTGCCGAACTTGACGCAAAATTTGATGCAGGCACGTTGCTCGATTCTGTCAGCCATCATAAGCATCACAGAGCCGTTCTAATACAACATTACAAAACCTTAAGAAATAATTGAACATTAGTAGATAGCACGGAGACTTCTGACACACTGACACAGCAGACTGGGCATTAAATGAGCGTTAGGTACACGCATATTTCTGTTGGACGGCACACTTACGGCATCTATACAATCCAGGACATTTCGATGAGATCTCGTATATTGGTACAGAGTTTTAAAGACAAAAAATGTAATTAATTATCATGGACTTAATCAATATATAATAATATACTAGATAGATAGATCGATATGAACAGAATGGGATAGATAGATAGATAGATAGATAGATAGATAGATAGATAGATAGATAGATAGATAGATAGATAGGAACAGACTGAGACAGAGAGAAAGAGATACATAGATATGAAGGAATTAAAAAGTGAGAGGTACATGCATAGATATGAAGAGATTAAGATAGATAGATAGATAGATAGATAGATAGATAGATAGATAGATAGATAGATATGAAGAGACTTAGATAGATAGATAGATAGATAGATAGATAGATAGATATGAAGAGACTTAGATAGATAGATAGATAGATAGATAGATAGATAGATAGATAGATAGATAGATAGATAGATTAGCGATAGTTATTATGATAACACTTCGTCAATTTTAGCACAAGACCAAATTTCGCACAAGACTAAACTACGATGGTTTTAGCACAAAACTAAAGTTTAACAACATTGACTATGTTGATGGCAGAAATTAAACCTAATGAAACTTTAGACAAGCAAGAAGAAAGGGTTAACTATTAACAGTAAGAAAACAGAATACATGCTTGTAAGCAAAAGATAAAGCCGAAGATCAAAACTACAGGGTGATCCAAAAGCCGTGTCACTCCGGCCTCTCTTCCAAACTGTAGGAGGTCGTGGCAGCCTTCTGAAATAGAAAATCATGTTATATAGGGGTGACAAGATTTTCGGGCCACTCTGTATATGTTGAAAACATCGATATCAAGTAATGACACGGATAATTTACTAACAGACGATAAAACATGTGATCGGAAAGCCCATAAGAATAGCGAAAGATGCTTTCCAGAATCTAAGCAATCTATTAAGACATAGAAGAGAATAATATCGTTAGAAAGAAAGAAAAGAGTTTTGAACTATTATGTCATATCTAATCCCCGTTTTGGAAGTAAATGTTAGTTTCCACAAAAACGAAGACGAGACCTTAAGCGACAGAGATGTAACTCTACGGACGGACGTCGTCAATTCTATGGACAAAACATGTGAACAAGAAAAATAGGAACTAGAAGGAAACTTATACTTACAATTAGAAAGAGACACAAAGCGTGGAAAGAAGATTTGGATAGACAAATGAGGCATAAAAAGAAAGAAAAGCTGGATTAAACAACTAAATTACTTATTGGGTTTGTGAGAATGGATGGCATAACAGGGACAAGCCATGTTAAAGAGGTAAGGGTTAGTTAGAGCAACAAAAGACAGGAAATTGTAGAGAGCCGTGATCGCCCACATATTGAAGAAGGCTTACGCCCACATCACCGATTCCCGCACCGAAGTTAAGCAATGTCGAACCTGTTCAGTACCTAGATGGGTGACCGCTTGGGAATACCAGGTGCTGTGAGCTTAGGTGTGTGGATGGTGTAATAGAAAACCGTTCGGAATTGTTAATCGGAGAGCCGAGTTCTAATTCCCTTTGGGTTCGTTATATACATTAATGCGTAAATGCCCTTTGGTAAACGTATGAATCCACCTCCTCTCCCTCCAGATGTTGGTTAATTTGTCAGACTTTTATCACTAAAATCGCAAAAAAATCTTACAGTTTAAAGCTATTTTCTGGCTTTAAATAACCTGTGAAGTGTTGATAAGCCGTAGAAAACGAATTGATCAGTAAATAAAACATCCTGAAGAGACATAACACATGGAAGTCGGAAAACAGTGATATGGTAACTATGGTTACATCTTATTAGAATATATAGAAGGCGTGCCAAGTAATTGAGAACACATTATACTATAAAGAAAAGCAAATATTTAAGAGAAAAATCAGTCTATTTTGTAATATAGACTATTATATATACATATGATATACAGTGTGCGTCAGATAATTGAGAACAAATTATAATAGAAAGAAAAGATATTCAATAGAAAAATAATCAGTATACTTTTTTTTAAAATTGTTTACTATTCCTTTTGTTCTATGTGTCGCGTCTCTTCAGGACGCAGACGATCATGGCTCTCCACAATTTCTTATCTCGTGTGAATTTAAGCAGTTTTTCTACCTTTGCTAAGACGTCTGTCCCTCATTCCGCCATCCATTCACATAAGCTCGTCAGGCAAGTGTCTCGCTGTCTTTCCCTGATTCCCTTGCCCTCAATATGCCCAGTGAGGGTTAAATTTTCCAAGCCCCCTTTCTTCATTCAGGTGTCTTTTCCTGATTCTGAATGTTTTTCCTAATGCGATTTTCTTTAAGACTTCCTAGATGCTTACTCACTCAGTATCCTTCTGTAGAACCAAATTCCTATTGCCTCTAGTTTTCTCTTCACCCGTGGGGAGATTGTCCTGCTTTCATTGACATATAAGAGGATGGATATCGCATAACAATCTAGAACTCTTCAGGGGCTTAACAGAAATGGGAACGCTTATTTTTTTCCGCTCCCAAACTTATTAAGAGCCCGCGTTTATTAATATCGTCTTTTAACCTTTAAATGATTTCCTGGCTCCCATTTTATTAAGACCTCGCGTTTATTATATACTGAGAAAAATTCAGACCCCGACCCAATTGTTAAGAAATCCCGCCTTCGTTGACAACTAAGCGTATAGCTTCGAGGATAAGTTCAATGTGGCCTGAGAAGCGAATGAGTACCTGGATCAGTTGGCTCTCATGCACATTGAAAGAACACCAGCCAACAAAATAACGATGAAGGTTACCGAATGGCGACATACGAACTCGTCTTCAACAATATGCCATCTGTAGAGTTTTCATAGTTGAATCAACAGAGCAGCTGGCAAAGGCTTCCTGATAGAAAGAATCTCGCCAAAAATATTCTTTATTTCTGGTTCAAGTTGTTTATTTAGGGCCACGAGATGAAAGAAAGGCTAGTCAAAAATGAATTATGGCTGACAGTGACCCGGTTCACACTCCTCTCTGGTCTTTTGAACAAGAGCAGAGGTTTATCCCTTGCTTCCTGTTTAGGATTGGGTTTCCGGTTCTTTCAAAAGTCTACTTCAGCTTTATACTCCTAACGCCCATCTCTTCCTACACTAATATAATTTCACAGAGTACCCTCTACTTTGAGGGACTCCTGGGCCTTGTATTAGGTGAATATTAGTTTTGAAAAAATCTAATAGAAAATTCAAGATAATATTACTACTAATACTACAAAATGAAAAGCAATACTTCATCTAACAAAAAAATCTAGTAATACTTTAAAATAGAAAAGCAAGCTAAATTAAGATGAAAGAAATCCTAGTCAAAATGGCTGTCAATGCTTCATCTAACAAAAAACATCCAAGTTAATATTACTACTAATAATTCAGGATAGAAAAGCAAGCGAAATTAAAATGAAAGGAATCCTAGTCAAGATGGCTGACAATGCTTCATCTAAGAAAAAAATCCAAGATAATATGAAAAATAATACTACTAAATGAAAAGCAACCGAAATTAAGATTACAGAAATACTGGTAAAAAGTTAATAAAATTAAGCATTAAAAAAAATTCAATTATGCAAAAAGTAAGTAAGATGAAAGAAATACATGTGAAAAAATTAATAATGGTTAAAATCAACTTCGCCTACAAGTATTTTTTATGGATTCTTTATTGGTGGATAAATGTCTCTGTGGTCTATATTGATTTTTCACTAGTATAGGATTCCATTTTCAACTTTCACCGCTATAAATATCGTTTTTATAGTTAAAGATTCACAACCAATTCAATTAAGTATATTAATGCCTCAGTTTATTTTCGATTAAAAGCAAATACTGTTTGCTGTTTTCATAACAACATAAATAAAACAAGAGAAAACTTTCTGAAAGCCATGACGAAATCAAAATCAAAAAGAAAACTGCGACTACGTAGTTGGACTCTAAAAGAATCGAATTACAAAAACACTAAAGGAAACTTTTTTGTCACATTGCAACAATCAATTTCATATAAGAATGAGAATTTTTAATTACAGTCGTCAATGTGTTCTCAATGCACAGACGCAAAAATTACGTCACTCGGATGTAATACAGTTTCATTTACCCCTCGCTTCAATTCTTCCAATTGCATCGACGTCATATTTGTTTTTAAGAAATCATGTCTGCCTCTCAAAAAGCAAGAATAAGAAAAGGTGTGTAGTCGAAAACAAACTGAGGGTCCTTTGTAATTACGCATGCAGTTGAGGTGGAATATCTTTCCAGGAAATCTGTTTTTATACTCGTAAATATTCTCCGCAATTAAATCGAGAAAGAATTACAAAAAAAAAAAAAAAAAAACTTAAATAGAATTGACAGCTAAAAGACTGGCGTTTGAAGAAATGACATTTCATTTACATTAATTTAAGCGGGAATTTTAATCTTATTTATTTTGCATGGAATCATATTTAAAATTAAGCATTTTAAGGGATTTTAAGCATTAAACATTCAAATTTCATGTACAATTTATTGATTGATTGATTTTTCTGTTTTAACAGCATCTCAATTAGATCAACCTCCTTCAAATAGGCTCGAGTAGTCTCTACTTTTATCTTCTTGATAAGGTCCTCTCGATTAGTTATGTCATTAAGTCACTGACGTATAGGGGCAAAGGTCACTACAACCGGTTAGAATATGTTTTACAGTATATGCCTTCTGACATGTTGTGCATTCAGCAAGGTGTTCATTTTTTAGGCGAAATGAGTGAGTGATATAGGCTATTCTGATTCTTCATAGGACGACTTCTTTTCTCTAAAAACAAGTCTGAGATCATAACGCCATTCTCGTTGAATGAATTTAATTTTCTATAGATGGATTGGTGATCGATGTAGGCATCTTTGATGGAGATTAATTCTTCATGGAATGCGATAGGGTTGGTTTGGGATTTATGGAACTCGCTAAGTTTTATTTGAACGTTTGGTTGTTCTTCTACTGTTCGTAGTGGATATTTCAACCGAGTTAATTTATCTATTTTCACTGAACAAGAACAGAAATTGAACCTACGTTCGCAAGTCACATTTGGCAATAGACGTGTCCTATACGAGTCATCTGGGTTAGAAACTTTAAACCTTATTTGTATTCAGAGTCCTTCATGCACTATAGAGAATATGTGAATACGTTCAAGTAGATATCTCCACAGATTCGTGACCTAAGGCTTAAAATGAATTTTTAAAAATAAAGTTTTAATTTCAATCTAATAGTTTAAATTTAATATTTCCAAGAAGCAAAATACTGCATTTCAAAACTAATTTAAATTAACTGAAAGGAGATTTTTTTAATTATTGAAATTGCTGATTTTAGCGCCATTTTTAGCCACCTTTCATCAGAATGTCATTCTCTTAATTAAAAAATCTTCCCAAAATAAAATATAATTTTTCTGAAACTTATCTGAATATTAACTAACTTAAAGTTTAATTAATCTGATTTGAAACAAATATTACTTAAGTTTAAAATATCACAGAAATGCATTTTAACCCGACAGTAGCTGTTTATTTAAGGTATTGACATGTTGACAGCTAGAATAATGGAAATTTATCTAATATTTTCTACGATGGATATAACTGTAAAAAATAATTAAGCAATGTAACGTGAGCGCATTTTTTATATAATTTTAAATACTCAGTAATCTTAAAAATTTATGGAAATATTCTGTATAATCTAATGTTTTTAAATTTACTATAGCTTATCGCTCTTATTGTCTGATAATGTTGATAATTTCGAACGTTCTAAAAAGCATCAATATATAATAATGATAATATTAATAATATAATAATGAAAAAACCCTTTGGCTTTTTGCCTTAATAGCATATTTTTTCATCATGCTTTTCTAATTTTTTAGCTAATCAATGGAGGTGCTTATTTTCAATAATATATTTATTGTAAAATATTGAACAAATATTTGAATGTCTCACTGTAGAGTAATGGTTAACAAGCTAATCTATCTGATCCTTATTTCCAATGTAAGGAATTTAACCCTGAAATGAACTTGTAGTTTGTGATTCATACAAGGAAATGCCATTGAATATAATGACGACTATGAGCTTTTGATGAAGAGTTCATCCGCGGTGATCCTAATATGTACTGGGTTCATCCGAAGAGACCAAGTAAAGCTTTATAATTTGTGTCGTTTTACAACATCAAAAGATCTACATTTGACCTAGAGTGTAACCTCAAAGGCACCAAGTGCAAAATCAGGCCTCAAAGTAAGTATATCAATGTAACGTTTCACTTTATTAAATTTTCATCTGCTGAAGCCTAAATAAAATTGAAATATGTTAATTCATAAACGCTTCCTGTTTATTCTTTTATATATATATATATATATATATATATATATATATATATATATATATATATAAGATGCTAAAAAGTTTTTTGATCGGACCGGGAATATGAGCAAGCCCTTGAACACACACACACACAGATATATATATATATATATATATATAT